GGGGGAGGGGGAGGGGCAAGGGATTTTTAAGTCGAGCCAGAATCGTTCGTGTAGAAGGGAAAATGCAAGTTCAGAGAAAAGGCGCAAAATTTAGCTCGCGCAAATCAGAGTTGCCCATTATTCAGAGAGAGACAAGTTTTCGCCAAAAAAGCTCTAAGTTTAGCTGAGAAGACGCGAAAAGCTAGGTGCAGTCCGGTACCATGGAAGTTGAAAAACTAGGGCTTTGGAATAGTAGTCTTCAGCTGTGTGTGGAACACCAAAATAGGCTGAGCTGACGTATGTGATCGTTGGCCGTGGTTTGGTGCCAGGCTGATATTAGAAGTGATGAGTCCAAAGTTTTGCTGGTTTGTTCGTTAGTTTAGGACAGCGAATTGCTGTTTCCCATCTCTTCACTCGAATTCTCTCACCTGAAGTTCGCATATTGCCTGCTGATTCCAGCCAGAAAATGATGGTCAATTGCTGTGGTTTAGGAGAGTCTTCCGTTGCACGTCCTTGTATAGCGTTCGTGAACCGATGTGATGACTAATCTCGAAACGCTGTGGTAACTCTTTCAGTTCATTTACCCCTTCGTTGCTCCCAGCCCTTGCATTTCTTTCACTTTGTGATGCTGTAAACTGCAGATCGGATTTCCAAAACACAGTGGAGGAAATTGAAATTTGACTGGTCATTCAGAATTTGGCAAGAAAACGACGGAAAAGTTTGGATTTGTACGTTGAGAAGTCTGCTGGCTCGTTAATATGCGAATTTCAAGATTTCTAAAGCTGTTTTCGGCAGGATGTAATAAGAGTGCGAGTGGATCTGGAATTGATGGCGGATCATTAATGTGAGGCCGGCCAGACGCAGCAGCTAGCAATGTTCAAAGGTATCTTCCCGAAAAGGTCGCCGAAGGTAGTCCTTGAGCATCGAACTGAACGTGCTGGGAGCGGTTTGCCAGAGCAAGCTACCAGTGGGAATGGAGACGACGAAACGATTAATCAGTTTTGGTAAGTGAAAAACGCTTCGCCAAGATAACATTGCTACTTTAACTGGGTGCTTACGAAGTGCGCACATCCGGCTGCTGTACTGCTTCTCAGGATGAGTGAGGGCACACTTTAGACGTTAGCTTAGATGAACGGCAGAGGGTAATCAAAGCATTTTCGTGCTTAAGTAAATTTATTTGACAGTTTTCGTCACGAGAAGAAGCTGGACAAAGAGTCACTGCGACTGGTTATATTGGCTGAGAGTGAAAAGAGAATTCTCTTTGACAGTGAAACAGTTTTACCGGTGAACACGCCCGGCGTCCCGGCGAAGGCACCGCTCTCGAACTGTGGCCGATTTCAGGTACGCGTTTTCAAAGTGGCCTTCCAACACGGAACTTATTATGCGTTTTGTGCTGCAACAGTTACACAAAATGCATATTGCACAGATGAGCAGCCGGCGGCCGGGTCCTGCCGGCGATTGGTTTTAATTCGGCTCATGGAGGGGATCGAAATGTGGTGCCCAACTAGACGAACGGGAGGTTTGCATTCCGGCATGCCACTGCATTCTCATGAAAATAAACAGCGGTGCGCACCACTGCAGTCGGTACGATTACGCATTTTGCGCAGTTCCGTCCAGCGGATTTTTGCCTGTTAAGGATTTTCACTGCTTTGCACTTTGTTCTGCGCAAAAGCAGTTGAAATGTTGTCTGACCCCTAAGTTGCGAAATCTCTCACGAAAAATCTCACGTACCGATACGTGAAAGCTGAATTTCAAACTTTGGACGGTGAACATCGTTCCAAAACTTCAACTTCCTAATTTTGTGGTTTTCGAGTGATTTTCGCGCCAAAGTTTCTACATGGTCATACGTGAGATCTCGGCATACTTTGGAACTAAGTTTGAGTTGGAGGCCCTTGCATAGACAAAAAAACATCCTAAAATTTTCAGCCTCCTAGCTTGTATGGTTCCCGAGATAATAATTTCTCCGTCAAAATATTTTTACAGGGCCGCGCATGATACGCGGGTTTGCGGGAAGGCTGATTTTAAATTTGTAAGGTGCGTAGGGCAAAGGTCATTACTATAAAGTTTTGGCTTCCTAATCTTCATGGTCCCCGACATAATTTTCCCCGCCAGAACTTTCACGGGGTCGCACGCAGTACCCAGACGTAGGAGAGGACTGGATTTGAGGTTGTGGGGTTGTACTTAGGCAGGGGGCATTACTGCAGAATTTCAGCTTCTTAGCTTTAATGGTCCTGAAGATAATTTCTCCGCCAAAATTTTTACGGGGCCATGTGTAAAATCCGAATGCGCGGGAGGGCTAAATTTATATTTGCGATTCGCACTTGGGCAGGGGTCGTTACTCCAAAAATTTAGCTTTCTAGCTTTCACAGTTCCCGAGACAATTTTCCCCACAAGGACTTTCACGAGGTCATACGCAGTCCCAGGGACAGGGGAAGGCTAAAATTAAATTTCAGCAGGAAATACTCCCCTAAATTTTCACTTTCCCATCTTTTGCGGTTCCCGAATTGAATGTTGCGGATAAGATGCATCGAATACACACACAAAAACACATACGCACACAGACAATCCCGTGATAACATGCGCTTTGTGCAACTGTTGCACAGCACAAAACGCATAATAAAACTAAAATACGCACAGGAATAGGCGGCAGTCTGGAAAATACTTTGAGACTCTGTGTCAGTGACATAAATCCAGACTTCAGCAATCTTGTGTCAAAAGTTCAAGCCCAGAGCCCGTATTAATCTGCTGTTATTTATTTTTTTACTAAATGAATAACCCGGTAAAAATTTGTCTGTTTTTATGCGTTTTTGCATCTTATACGAATGCAAAACCCATAATGTCGAGAGCATTTTTGTGTGTGTGTTCAGAAGCGAGTGAACTTTGTAACCCAGTTTCATCTCAGGAACGGGGAGATCCTGATGCAGTGCTACCGTCACAACCGACGCCGTTTTCCCCCGTATGCAAGAAAAGACCAAAACATAGAAGCACGAGCTGCACGTATTAAACTACAACAACCATTCGTACTATTGACGACCTGACTGCCCTAAGTTTAGCGCAAAAACGCATGATCGCACGAGCAAACCTGATGCGTTGTTACCTGGGTTTTATTAAAAGGTGACTCGCGAGCTTAAGTAAGCATGTAAATCAAGCCCGCGTGTCGCCAAAGGTTGCCCATGCCTGGCATATTGTCACGACCCTGTTTATTTGTGCGGTTCTACATGTGTGCGTTTGCGCATGTGTTTGCGATACGTTTTATCTAGTGGTCTTCATCTCAGGAACCAGGAAATGCTGGGAAGCTGAAATTTTTGAAAGATGTCCCGTACTCATATGTGATCCCGCAGACTTAAATTCGGGTTCCACGTATGCTTAGTTCTCTTAGTGTTCATGTAAGTTTTGACGAGACCAACTAACTCGGGAACTGGAAAGGTTAGGAAGCTAAAATTTTGGGAGCATACTGTGTATCCATGTGCGATCCAAAGTTTTCAAATTCACTTTCCAAGTTTGCTTGATCTCACATACGAATACGTGAAAGCTTTGCCGAAAATCAACTAACTTGAGAGACAGCACAGTTGGGGAACTAAAATTTTAGGAGGTTGTTCTGTGTCATCTGCATCATAAAGTTGATTTCAACCTCCATGTACGCCAAGGTCTCACGTGCGGATATGTAAAGTTCTTGTCAGGATTTCTAACTCGGGAGCCCGAAAAATTAGGAAGCTGAAATTGCAGGGAGATGTTTCCGCCCCAAGTTCCCCCAGGTATTAATCTTGGGTACTGAAAGTTTCTCGGAAACGTAAGCCTGAAAATTTACCATAGCGCTTCCTGTGATCTTGTAATCCTGAAAAATTAAATCCAGCTTTCATGCCCAGTTAAATTTCATATTCGGACACGTGAAATTTTATGTGAAAAATTTTTATTTCGGGGACCAGACAGCACAGAAGGCTGAAATTGTCGGAGAGTGTTTTCTGTTCATTTGCGATCCCACAAACTGAAATTCAGGTCTCATGAACGCCTACTTTTCACATACGGGCAAGTGAAATTTCCAATAAGAAATTTTGTAGCTCGGAAGCTAAAGAACATTTCAAATGTTTTCGCACACATTAAACTATAAGTCAGTGAACATTCTTAACAGCAGACATTCGCTGGACAGAACTGAGCAAAATTCATGATCGCGCCAGCTGCCCTGCTGAGTGTCGCTATTTATTTTTCATAACGACGTACAGTTGTGCGTCTTCCTGAGCGTGAAGTTATCTGAGCGAAATTTCAGCTGCTGAGGCATCGCCCGGATATCTCGTCGATTGGGCAAATGATTTTTGGATCGATGTCCGCAACAAAGAACGAATCTTTCAAAATACACTCCTTTAGGTAGTTTATTAAATGCCTGGAGTAGAATTTTTCTAATATATAATACTATGAGGGGAAATATGAGGTATAGATCACTGTTGAAGACATACTGTTTCGGCCCCCGAGATTAAGCACTTGATCCAGAAATATTTTATGGATCTTGGCGGAACGATACAGTGCTTGGCCTTAGTAATCCAGGAAGCTTTACCCAATGGTTGACTGTTCAAAATTGCATTCCGTATTAAACCAATTAGATAACACGACCAGCGTGGGACGTCCGGGCCTTTTCAAGCCCGGCCTTCCTACGTTTAGATCAAGCGCCACAAACATGGCTTTCTAGAAGCTGCTGTCTCCGAGGTGTCCTGAACAACGGTAAGCATACTACTTGCCTGTGGGCAGTCCTCGAATTCGCCGAGGAACCGGAGAGTCAAGACACTACTGCGAATCCTCGCAAATATGTATCTATTCCAATTACGGCGTTGGACCGCACTGGGCGATGTATACTGCCGATGAGTTAACGAAAACTAACTCTGGAGGGCCGACGAAGCCCGACTGAGTATTAGTTGTTTGTTCTCTCTTTTTATGCTCTCTCCAGTGGACTCGTCGTTCGTCCCTTCTCACGGCAGATTTGTTCTGTACATTATTGACAATACCCCCTATGAGGCACCTGTCGGAGACGTCTCACAAACAAATTAATCTGTTTATCAGTATGAGGGTGA